ATTTCATAATATAGCTGCAGCTTGGCTCTACCACGTATTCTCGTACGCCACCATTACACTGCAACTGTACTCATTATTTCATAATATAGCTGCAGCTTGGCTCTACCACGTATTCTCGTACGCTACCATTACACTGCAACTGTGCTCATTATTTCATAATATAGCTGCAGCTTGGCTCTACCACGTATTCTCGTACGCCACCATTACACTGCAACTGTGCTCATTATTTCATAATATAGCTGCAGCTTGGCTCTACCACGTATTCTCGTACGCCACCATTACACTGCAACTGTGCTCATTATTTCATAATATAGCTGCAGCTTGGCTCTACCACGTATTCTCGTACGCCACCATTACACTGCAACTGTACTCATTATTTCATAATATAGCTGCAGCTTGGCTCTACCACGTATTCTCGTACGCCACCATTACACTGCAACTGTGCTCATTATTTCATAATATAGCTGCAGCTTGGCTCTACCACGTATTCTCGTACGCCACCATTACACTGCAACTGTACTCATTATTTCATAATATAGCTGCAGCTTGGCTCTACCACGTATTCTCGTACGCCACCATTACACTGCAACTGTACTCATTATTTCATAATATAGCTGCAGCTTGGCTCTACCACGTATTCTCGTACGCCACCATTACACTGCAACTGTGCTCATTATTTCATAATATAGCTGCAGCTTGGCTCTACCACGTATTCTCGTACGCCACCATTACACTGCAACTGTACTCATTATTTCATAATATAGCTGCAGCTTGGCTCTACCACGTATTCTCGTACGCCACCATTACACTGCAACTGTGCTCATTATTTCATAATATAGCTGCAGCTTGGCTCTACCACGTATTCTCGTACGCCACCATTACACTGCAACTGTGCTCATTATTTCATAATATAGCTGCAGCTTGGCTCTACCACGTATTCTCGTACGCCACCATTACACTGCAACTGTACTCATTATTTCATAATATAGCTGCAGCTTGGCTCTACCACGTATTCTCGTACGCCACCATTACACTGCAACTGTGCTCATTATTTCATAATATAGCTGCAGCTTGGCTCTACCACGTATTCTCGTACGCCACCATTACACTGCAACTGTACTCATTATTTCATAATATAGCTGCAGCTTGGCTCTACCACGTATTCTCGTACGCCACCATTACACTGCAACTGTGCTCATTATTTCATAATATAGCTGCAGCTTGGCTCTACCACGTATTCTCGTACGCCACCATTACACTGCAACTGTACTCATTATTTCATAATATAGCTGCAGCTTGGCTCTACCACGTATTCTCGTACGCCACCATTACACTGCAACTGTGCTCATTATTTCATAATATAGCTGCAGCTTGGCTCTACCACGTATTCTCGTACGCCACCATTACACTGCAACTGTGCTCATTATTTCGCATTAAACAATGATGTCACTAACAGAAGTTCCCGTACCGCAGACCATATACCTATAAAATTAAGTGTATGAGAAACTAAAACAACCATTCATTTTACTGATAGAGCCATGATTCAGAAGTAAACGCACGTCGTGAATATCATAGATAAGTGTAACTAGAGTTCTATTCCCGACGATACCTTAGAAACTCCTAATTAAAAATTTTAATTCTGATTTTTATATTTGAAGGAAACACACATGACGAAAAAATAAAATATTATGCCATATAGATGTTTACTAGGTGTCCAGGCAGACATTGTTCTGACATTTTCTGCGATCCTTTATCTTATGACTGCTTCGTTGGTCTAGTGGTTGTAGTAGTGTAACTGCTGTACATGAGGTACTGGGTTTCAATCACGGATCGGGCCAAAAATATCCATTGAGTTTTTCTATGAAGAAATTCTCAGTAGTTGTCCGGAGCCAGAAAGTTGGCGGTGTCTCACCCCCGTGCCTCGGAAAGCACGTAAAGCCGTCAGTCCTGCGCCTGATCTCTCTCCGGTCGTGTCAGTTTACCGTCTAATCGGATTATGAGAGTGAGGGAACAGAGAGTGCATATGTGCTTGCGCATTCACTTGAGCACTATAATCCTGTCGATGGTTAGTTTCCGTTGAGGCTGGCCGCCGTGACCGAAATTCGGTCTGGAAGACATAATCTTATAAAAAATCATTAAACTCATTATAAAAAATATTGATGGTCACTTATTGGAATAGAATCTCTCAAGTTAGAGAAAGCAATACACATTAACAAAACTTCATTTAAATCAATTGAGCGGTTTTAGAGGGAAGCGATTCAGAGAAATATTCCAGTTTAAGAATGCAGCTCAACAAGTAAAAAAGTAATTATTATATATGCAAAAAGATAAATAAAACTATATTTAATACAATTGTTCAACATTATAAATTTAAGAAAATGCACTTAAAACACCCCTGTGCGTGAAACTGCGAAAAGGACCGAACTCAGATGACTGGTTGACATATTTGAAAGGGACATACATACACAAATGAATTAATTAATTAATGATAACGATTACTGATGGACATTCCAGCCAAAAGCCATAGTGTTACAAATTATAATGATAGAGCATATGAAAAACTTTACAAGTTATTCATACGCTCTATCAGGAATTACTTGATGATATCGACTGAACTCTTCAGCATAAGCTGTACGTGCCTAAGGGTCATTAAATGCTGATACTTAGTATCTAAGCGAGATAGCTCTACAATTTATTGGCTTCGAATTTCACACACTTGCAACATTTATGTTACATTATTCACGAAGTATTTTAGAGCCCATAAAACTAGGGATTCATAATCTTATCTTATCTTAACTCTTAGGTTTATTTTTATGTGCAATATAAAAATGCATTTTTATTGAATAAGGCTAAGATAATAAACAAGTACATAGTCCACATTGTGATTGTGTGCCCATAGACATCTACATCTGTCCTCAATTAAGAATTCTAATGCTGATGGATTGTCACCCTCAAGGACTAAGTTGGAATACCTCGTTTTCAGTGAAAATGGTTTTATTTATCTACGCTCACCATATGAAACACAGTAACTTTAAGCTGTAGTTTTACGCTGATATTGTGTATAAGTGTAGTCCTTTCCTGGTCGAGCCGATAAATTCATGCTGCGGGCATAGTTACAGTGTGGCTCTACCATATCAGCAGACAGAAGAACTCTCTACTTTTGTCTATATTCATGAATCGTTACGTTATATTTTATAATTAAAAAATTTAAATACATTTAAAAACCGGTTTGTTTGATAAACTATTCATTCTGAAACTAACGACTACTAAAATTAAACTCACATAAATATGGTTATTATAAAGTTGCTTCATTAATAAGTTCTTAATTTATATAACGAATTATTGAATGATCTTTTCGTACACTCGCTATTTTGTACAACAGGTCGTAAGTTAAAATAGAAAATAGGTATTAATCGTAAATCCTATATTCGTTTATGACGACTCCGTAGCGCAGTGGCTTATTTATGAGTTGCAGCTCTAAGGGCTGCGAGTTCAATCCCACACGGAACAGGTATTTTTATGGCGTACAAACAATTGTTCCAGTTCTGGATGTTTGTCCTCGTGAAACTTATGTATATAAACTGATACAGGGGATACTAATCATACAAAATAAAATAAAGTTTTTCAGCCGACGCGCGTTAACGTTACACTTACACTTACACTTATCTTCACGCACAATCCCTAACGGGGTAGCCAGAGAGAACAGATCGCCAAGTATCACGATCCTTACATACCTCTTTCGCTTCTATCAGGTTCATTAACTTCTTCATACATGCACGTCTAGGTATCCGAGTACTCTTGACCCTCCCCTCTTCGAGCAATTTGCTCACATGGTCTTCGAAAGTTAGTCTCGGTCTCTCGGTCGGCGTTAACGTTGGCTACCTATTTACAATTTAAAAAAAAATATTTAGACTTTGTTCTTTACACCGTCCTTGTGAATGTTATAGGGGTTCGTGAAATTGCTAATCCAAATAATATTTCATCTCTATCTCCTTCATCAGCTCGCTGCTGGACAAGCTTCAACCCAAACCCCCCCCCCCCCGTGTAAGTTTTGCTTGGTAGACAGATCGGTGATCACTATACCGCACCGTTTTACCGCCATCTATCGGAAACCATAAGATATTTTTTGAATATATTATAGTCGCTTCTTAGGCCCGCCGCATACATACGAAATTCCGTTTCGGAATTCCGATTCGGGATTCCGAACGTAACAAGTGCATATAAAATAAATGACCCGTCACACACCTACGGTAGTTTTCCGTACGGAATTTTGCGGGCAAAACGTGGTTCCGCATGTGTTTGGTCGACCCGTTCGTTCCGTTTCGGAATTCTGTATGTTGTGTGTGTCACCAAAAAATGTGATGATAAGCTCTTAAACAACCACCACTGGCGCAAAGCACAAAAAAATTTATCCCATAAATGGAATAAAACTAATTTTACGTATTTTCGTACATGGAATACTATTATCATCTTTGTTTTCTCTCTCTCGGAGCACCCCAGTATCAACTGCTTCCACTTCACTGTATTCAACGGAGTGCGGCCCGAATCGTCGACGACCAAGTCCTTTCACATCGGCTTGACCCACTGACCTTGCGAGAAGACTGAGACTCTCTGTGCATCTTCTACCGCATATACCACGGGGAATGCACAGAGGAATTGTTTGGATTAATTCCAGCTACTGAACTCCTTCTTTAAAATCTCGATGGTTGACTAGTCTACTAACGTGCGATTTACGAGGAAATTTTTGCCTCGCACATCCACACAGTGGAATTTTCAATCGTCAGTGGTTTTTCCAGACCGACACTACTCGAAAAGAACCTACTCCTTTCTAAAAGGCCGGCAACACATTTGCAATTCCCCCGGTGTTGCAGATGTTCAAAGTCGACGGTGATCACTTACCACCAGGTGAGCCGTACGCTCGTTTGCCTCCTCTTCCATGAAAAAACCCATTGAATTGCATTTATTTTTATCTTGATTACTGAAAAATCTACCTTGTTCAGCCTAGTGCGCGACTGCGGAGGAACCGCGACCGTGCTGTCAACAGAGGCGAGCGCAAGCTCATGGAGCGCTGCACAGCGCGCTGCTGGAGCCACCGTACACTGGGCTGCGGAGCATTGCGTGCTCAGGCAGGGAGACAGGTGGGTTGACACACTTAATTACTCCTTTTTCATAAGCCCGTTGTCCACCGTAAGAACAAATGTTTACTACTAGACATGTTTTTTGTTCTAGTGTTGTAGGGATGGTTTCCCTACAGATCACGCGGCCAAGTTAGCAAATTGTATTGTTGCCGTCTCTGTCCAGCCCCGCGCACACTGGCGAGATAGCACTCATTTAGCAACATGTTCGCGCGTATTTTATATGTTACATAATTTCACAATTATTTAAATAATATATTAGATTTATGTGGATAAATGTTTTTATACAGAATATCCAATAACTCTTCTGTCTGTGGTATTTTTAAATTGTTTTGAACTCTATTGTTTTGAAAACTATATTGTCTTGAAATATAAAGATGATGTTGGCCCAACTTCATCTTATTTTGATCGAAAATTACATATCTTTGAACGAGTGTAACTTTCAAACTTTACGTTTAAGCGAAAATCTGACAAACCTCAGACACAGTTATTCGTTTATAGATCTAGCCTTAATGTAAATTTTACTGACTTTAATTGGTTTATATTCAATCTAGGGTCAAACTTCGTTTGTATGGAGCTCGCTTGGGAGAAATTTTCTTACATACACTTCTTAATTACTTCTTTCCCATCAATACAGTGAACAAATGTCCACTCCTGGACATGATTCTAGTTCTCTTTTTGTAGGAAGAACTTGCCTTAATAGTCACACTTGGTGAACGGATTGACAATCGCATAGCCACTACGTCATGAACACTACTGCGTGTCGCCGGTCTGGTTATTTTACGGCTGATCAATAGACAATTAAACCACCTGATAGTTAAACTGATTGCGTCGTTGGTCTAGTGATTGTAAACGCGACTGCAGATCATGAAGTGCTTTGTTCAAACCAGAGTATGAAACCTATCCAACTGCAGAGAGGTGTAAGATAGGGTGACCTTATTTCTCCGAAACTCTTCACTGCTGCATTGGAAGACGTTTTCAAGCTACTGGAATGGAAAGGATACGGTAGTAACATCAATGGTACGAGTAGCTCACCATCGATTTGCCGACGATATAATCCTTATGGTAGAATCGCTGGAGAACTTAAGCACTATGCTCAATGACCTCAATAGTGCCTCCCAACGGATAGGTCTTAAGAAGAACAAGGACAAAGCAAAGATCATGTTTAATGTCCATGTCACACCTATGCCCGTAGTTGTTGGGAGCACTAAGCTCGAAGTTGTTGACGAGTACCTGCGACAAATAGTCCGATTAGGTAAGTCCAACTTCAACCGAGAGGTCAATCGATGGATTCAACTCGGCTGGGCAGCGTTCGGGAAATTACGACACATATTCTCGTCAGGTATACCTCAAAACCTGAAAACTAAAGTGTACAACCAGTGCGTGTTGCCAGTGATGACCTACGGAACCGAGACGTGGTCCTTCACTGCTGGCCGTATGAGGGCGCTCAAAGTCGCTCAGCGAGCTATGGAGAGAGCTATGCTCGGGATTTCTCTGCGCGATAAACTTAGAAATGAGGATATCCGCAGTAGAACCAGAGTGAACGACATAGCCCAACGGATTAGTAAGCTGAAATGGCAATGGGCCGGCCATATAGCTCGAAGAACCGACAACCGTTGAGGAAAAAAGATTCTCGAGTGGCAGCCTTGTACCTGTAGGCGAAGTGTAGGGCATCCCCCCACTAGATGGAGTGACGAGCTAGTGAGACATGCAGGAAGTCAATGGATGCAGGTGGCTCAGGAGTGTGCTTTGTGGCATTCTTTGGGAGAGGCTTATGTTCAGCAGTGGACTTGTGAAGGGCTGTAATGATGATGAATGATAATGATGTCCATCCATGGTCGATTAATTTGTTCTGTAGTCATAAAACAGTTGCGCAGTAGTTAGAGCAATAAGATATAGAATAAGATGGTAAGTGAATGTTTGGAGGTTAGACGTATAGACATCTACATGTATCAAAATGCAGATGCGTTGCCACCCCTGAGGACTAAGATGATGAGAATGCCTCGTTTTCAATAAAAAGCATTTCCGGTTCTGTACACTCAATACTAAATTCAGTAGCATCAACCTGCTATTTCACTCTGGTATTCTGTGAGAGCATGGTCCTTCCCCGGTCGAGCCGAGCCATTAATGCTACAACCATAATATCTCACAAACGTCCGACCAGCCCGCGTTGCAGACTGAACTGAAAATCAGTGCATACTACATACTAAGGCAGGTATATTTCGTGGTCTTATCTATTTAAATAAGCTAAATACCATTGACAAACTGACTGACTGACTGACTTATCACAATATATCTAAAACTATACACCCGATTGACTTGAAATTTAATAAAGTTACTCATTTCGCAATGTAGACGCTCACTAAGAACAGATTTTACGATATTCCCATTAAAAAAAATCTTAATATTTTATATCCACGTTATTATCGTCTATTATCGTGCGCCCCGCGAAGCGAGCGGGTATCACGAACGAACGAAAAAAATGATTCCTATAAGGCTTAAGATTTAGCCTCCTTTTTGTTTTTTTTTAATTATACTTATTTTTATGGCTTATTCTTAAGCCGGGAATAAATGTGTTTTCCTTTCTTCTTAAATTAAATATAATTTTACTTCTACATCGTTATTTTTTTTTTCACTTATTTAACATCGTCGGTGTATACAGGGTCGCTCAACATTGGACTAGTGGATAACAACATCTGCATTTTAGTTCTTAATCCAGAATAGATGTAGATGTCTAAATACCACAGCATCCATTTACCATCAGGTAGGTTGTGTGTTCGTTAGTCACCCTGAATCTATAAAAAGGCATCTTAGTCTGTTTCTTTTACAAACTTAAAAAAACAGCCATCCTTAACAACCACATAATGGGAAAGCTTCTACGTCGTGACCTCGACTAACGAAGTAGGTTATCGGAAACCTTTGAAAGGGCAGTACGGATAGCCGCTTGTGGAGTCATCAGCACTGTCGGGCTCCAGTGGCCCCACTGCGATACGATCTAAGCGTGTGGTAGTGCCAGGTTACTTAGGGTCATGTTCCATCGCACAAGTGGATCTATTAAGAGACGATGTATTTAATTTTAAATTTTTAAATACAGTAGAACGCCAATTATCCGAACGCCGATTAACCGAATCACCAATTATCCGAATCGGTCCTAAGCGTAATACAAAAAATTAAAACCAAGTACTGTAAGTAAGTAATGTAGTTTTTGTGTTTTATCAACTCTTTCTCTCTCTCTCTCTCTCTCTCTCCCTCTCTCTCTAGTGCACTACTTACGTATTGTAGAACTGTGTTTGTTGTAATTACGTTGTACCAGTTCTGGCTCACTGAGTCAGAAGTACGACGTTCGTCGACTCAAGATCCTAAAAAAAAAGGTTTTAGCATGTGCAGATCAATTAACTCTTATCTAATTGATATCCGGTGAAGGCCTACACCGTCATTAGCGCTCCATTGTTCTTATCTATTTATCTATTGTTCATTGAATACCGAAATCTATTCTTCCTCAGCGTGGTGCTATTGTATTATACTCGTTTGTTCCTATCTACACTAATCTGACTCATCAATAAAACAAATTATCTAATTTTGTAAAAAATTTTTATTTACAAAATACAAAATCTTATTACTTATTATCTATAAAATAGGAGCGAAACATCTCATCCACTAAAATATCGTTGTACAATGTGTTCCCTGTAAATATACTCGTAAAACTATGCATTGAACATCCCTGAAACTTATATAGCAAATACATTAAGCAATATTCGCCACAAACTGAAGTCCACTCATTCTGAATCCTATCAACATTAAAGTTCCATCTTTTACAAGTTCTTTTTAAATACTCTAGATGATATCGTACAGGTGCTCGTCCGAATGAATCAAAATATTGACCGACGTCATTCGTATCGATATATAAAGCTACCCAATGTGACCCTAGTTTATCATCTGTATCCAAATTGCATATTATATACGTTGGTACGTGGGTGTACATGGGCAGTCTATTAGCAGCATAAACATTATTTTCTAGACTGGGGTGAATCTTTTTCAGATGTTGTTGTACATCTAGTGTATCCATGATATTACTGCTATTAGTAGATTATTACAGTACCAATCTACTCAATGACTAACATAGGAATGATCAATTATGGTGATTTCTAAATATTAAATTGCATTATTTTGTGTTAGGAAACTTTAATGGAAGGGTTGGGGTGAAGAGGTCTGGTTATGAAAGGATATTGGGAATGTTTGGTGATGAAAGTATAAATGAGAATGGTGAAGACCTCCTCACCGTATGTGTGGAAAAGAATATTTTTGTGACGAATATTTTTTTCGTAATAAGAAGATTCACATGTATACATGGGAAAGAAGTGATGATAGAAGCATGATAGATTTCGTAATTGTGGATGAAAGAATGAGGAGCGCAGTCGTAGATACAAGGGTTTACCGGGGGTCCAACGGAGGGACGGATCATTACTTGGTCTTATGTCGAATTAATGGTCTTTTCAAGCGTTGGCGGCATCGGACATCTGTGTCTACCACTGCGTTACAACGTATAAGAATAGAGAAGTTACAAGAGGAAGATGTGAAAGAGAAGTATAAATATAGACTGAGAGGAAATATTAGATGTTTGAATGAGTTGTGTATGAATCATTTAGACTTGAATACTGTGTGGGACAATATTAAGAAAGGTTTGGTGGATGCCGCCACTGAAGTATGTAGTGTAAGTAAGAGAACAAATGAAAGGAAAAGTAATACGTTGTGGTGGGATGATGAGGTAAGGGTGGAAGTTGAATCAAAGAAGAAAGCATGGTTAGATTTACTAGCAACCAAAGCTGGTAATTCTTCTGGTATGAATGATGAGATTGAAAGAAAAAAGGCAGAATTTAGACGTCTAAATAAGAGAGTAAAAGAAGTTGTTGAAAGGAAAAAGAAAGAAAGAACGGATAAGAATGATAGAAGGATATCTGATAATTTCCAGGGTAATTGTGATTTTAATTAGATCACATGGTGCT